CCCCAAAACCCCAAAACCCCAAAACCCCGTTGTCTTTTATTTGATTATTTTGAAAGAAATATCGAACATCTTCTAAAAAAATAATGAAAGTATTTTAATAATATTAAAAGTATATTATAATCGATAGATGCAGGCAAAGTTTAGCAATTTGTCAATATAAGCCTATGAATCTAGGATGCTAACCCCAAATAGAGATCGCTTTTGCAGTCAAATTAGTGTCACTTCACTAGATTAGGCATATCCTTAAAATGTCTGTGATCGAGAATAGCGAATACATTAGTACTTAGAATTAAATGGGATATTTATGGTAGATATTTAATCCTATATCAAGGATTAAAACAGCCGTGATTGTAAATCCCCTGTATTGGCAGAAGAATTTCGCCGGGTCAATTCGGGGATATTGACCGCTGACAATTCTGCTAACCTTACTCCGAATCCTAAGACTCGCCTCTCATTTATTCAGAGGAGGTTACTCAGAAATCAGCAACAGTGTCTGAGTGACTTGGCTCTTGATAAGCCTAAGTAGGACCAAGATAAGATTTTTGGATTTGAAAAAAGTGAGTAAGTTGCAGGTGTTGGTCTCTCTGATACGAAGCACCTACAACTGCTAAACTAAAAAAGAAAGATTTCATTAAATACAGTAAGCAATGAGTGGCCCGAGATATCAGCCCTCTCTCTATAAGAGTAGGAAGATATAAAGTTTTTTGGTATATTGAGCTCCAAGGATACTACCTCAAAATATTTGTTAACTCGGGAAAACACAGGCGTAAAGAATATCATATGATGACAACAACAATGAAGAATACATTAGAATGTTGGCGCATATCTTTCAGGCTATGTTTATTTTTCCTATCTATAACTATATACATAATATATTAATTCTTGTATTAATAATTAGTTAACGAAGACTTAAGTCTTACTTTCAATTATATATATGCCTTTGCCATTTCCTTAACAATCCTCATTATTATAAATTTTACGTCACGGATATGAGAAATACCTTAATTAATGCTACAAAGCAGCTTTTTCAAATTTTTAGATAGAAAGATCACTATAAATATTAAGGTGATTAACAAACAACCAGATATCCTATATTTTGTAGGGATTGAAAAGTAAAAAATTCTAAAATGTGATTATGGGGAATCAAGCAAAGTTTAAAATTTGATTTTGGATAGAGCGTTAAGTGTAAAAATCTTCAATGTTAATTAGGATTATGATTCTGTCTAGTAAATATCAAAAACTGACTTATTCCGTTCATTAATCTTAAATTAATCACAATTTGTATTAATCAAGCAAATACAATTTCACGGGGTTTTGGGGTTTTGGGGTTTTGGGGTTTTGGGGTTTTGGGG